TGATTGGGCGCGTGACGGTTGCATGATGTCAATTGCACCAACTTCGGCGCTCGTGATCTGTATTGCGCCCACTTCCGGCCGCTGATCTGTATCGCACCTATTTTGGCGCTCTGATCTCGAGTGCCACCCTTGCAGCCCTGTGATCTTGACAGCACCCCTCTCAGGCCTATGATCCTCAGCGCGCCCCCTCAAGGTCTGCTGATCCCCACAGACCCTGCCTTGGCCTGCACAAGCTTTTCCGGCAAACAAAAAGGAAAACAAAGGGTCCCCAGCCCTTTGCGTTTCCGGAAATTTCCAGGGAAAACAGAGGGTGTTTGGTGCTCCATTCTGGAAACTCGCGAGTTTCCCTGAGTCTGAGAGCTGGTCTGGGGCAAAATCTGAGGCAAAATTGAGGAAATCGGCACGATACCTAGGCGGTCGCAGGGTATTTTCCAGGTATACCCGGGGTTTTCCAGGTATACCCGCAAAATACCCGGTATTTTGCCGATTTGGCTTATTTTGGGCCCAAACCAGCCTCACCCTCAGACTCGGCTCAGAGCCCGGAAAATTTGATGGTTTCCCTGGAGTTTTCCCGGGAAAATAGAGAGGAAAAGAGAGGGTGCTGTAGAGAAAAAAGGAAAGGAAAAGAGACGGTGTGCGAGAGGAAAAGCTTGTTCAGCCTAAACCCTGCCGTGGGTGCTTGATCCTGAGGCGCCCCCCCGCCGGTGCTGTGATCCTGAGAGGGGTGTCTGAGATCCTGAGAGAGGCTTATCTGGCGCGGGGGAGGCGGACGGCTGGCCTGCCATCGAATTATCACCAGCCATGCTCCGGAGGATGGCTGCACTGACTGTGGCCCCAGCCATAGTAGATGGCTGAAATGGCTGTCCGCACCCCCAGCCATCTTACCCAAGATGGCTGCGATGTAGCCAGCTAAGCCAAGAGGGCTCACCTCGAGGCGGGCGGTATGGCTGCGGTACTCGAGTAGTGTGTCTCCAGCCATGTCTACCAAGGATGGCTGCCGAGTGCCGTGTGTGTATTGCAGCCATTAGACTGGAGGATGTGGCTGCACTGCAGCTAGCTCAGCCATCCTTAGGTTCAGATGGCTGTGAAGGAGCCAGCGCACAGCCATTCTCCATCTGGTGGTACATTCCGAGGTTAGTTAGCCCTTCCTATGTGAGCTCTCAGTTGCGCTCGTGTTTTGTGTGAGGAAGGGCGCTTGGGTCTAAATTTAGTGCGTGTGAATGAACTTTAGAGCGCGCTAAATTCGCGCTAACTAAAGTGCACTAAGATCAAAGAGATATATTTGCCACTTTCCGCACAAACAGGCACCCGACCAGCTGAAGCTCTAGACTCGTCGACCGAGCTCTGGACGATGCCGACCTCAAACCACCAGCGCCAGCAACGACGTGCCGCGGCTCGCCGCGCCGCTGTTGCGACCGACGACGTGCCCGACGCCGTCCCGCGGCCGAAAGGAAGAGGCCCGCGCAACCACTTCTGGGACCCGCGGCCGCCGGGCGTGCGGCGGCACAACGAGTCGAACGAACCGAACCAGCGCAGAGCGGCGCGTCTCGCGAGCGCCCGCGGCCGCCACGCCGACGCCGTCCGCGGCCGACGGTGGTCGCGAATCAACGCGGCGCGGTGCAACGAGGCCAAGTCCTTCCAGGCTCCCGCCAGCAGCGCCTCGTGGCGTGGGCTGCACGGCCCTTCGAGACGGCCCGGGGGGCGGTGAGAGACCTCTCCCGCCGGCATGGCGCACTATATCACCCGTAGAGGCCTCTCTATAGTCGCCTTTTGGCACCTCCTCTATCCACGCCGCCGATTAGACCTCGCCGCATCGCATCGCCCCCTTCCCTGCCCCGTCGCCCTCCTGAGCTCTCCCTCCTTCGCTCCAGCCATGCACAGGACGG